ATATAAAATCCGTTACACAAAGTTGATCTACAATCTATTTTATATGAAATTGGAAATTTGTACACCCTACCCTTAAATGATCTACGGATATAGTAATATAGTACCGTAAGTCTCACTTTATGGATTTTATTGTGCCTTAGCAATTCTTTTAAAAAAATCGAATAAAAATTGTCGCAGGAACTAAAAGTCGGAGTCTATTTAAAAATGAACCCTACTAAAATCCATTTATAACTTTCTATTATAAATTCTAACTTAAGTCTCCCGCTTCAGCTGCAACAAAAATTTTTGAAATTTGTAAAAATAAGTCTTTAAATACGTGATACCACATATGCAATGTAGAAATGAATATGTAGTAACCTATAAATTATTTAAATTATTTATATCTTAATTTTAATGTTCGGTTATTTGTCAAGGCTATAGTGCTTGTTCATATCAATATTTAAGATTACGGATCGGTAAATGGTTTAATATAATCTTTCCAATAACTTGGTACTCCAATACAATCTGGCGAAGCTCTAACGGTATTAAAATATTCTAAATTGAAAATATACGTATGAGCAAAATAAATAGACAAATAATAAATACGATCAAGTCTCCTTAAACGCATTTAGAAACAAAATTTTGAATTTATGAAAATTAAGCATATATTTGAGCCAGAGTTATAGCTTGCATTACGGAAGTCGCGTTTAGGGAGGTCTGATTGCATTTTTAAAATATAAAAAAAAAAGTGCTTGCCACCAGAGCGTGATCGACCAATCAAATCGCGTAACGTAAGATTCAAAACAAGAACGCGCCAAAGTTTACTGTCAATTAGAGTTAGGCGAAATATTGACATATGGGACATTGCGCCTTTGACGTTACGCGTGATCTTTAGATTTAATTGTTTGATAGCACTCTGGCGACTGTCACTGTCGGTGACATATTTTAAAAATATACCTTTATAAACATCACCATCAAATTTTCCCAAAGGTGCTTGCAAAATAAAATCTGGATATCCCCATGCATCGACTAAAGGTATAATTTCTTTTCTTAACTCTTTACACATTCCAAAATAAGCATTTCTTACAATAATAGCTTGTTCTTTTCCAAAATAACCCTCTTCTAAAAATTCATTTAATGACTCATATATTAAATGAATTGACCATAATTGTCCTAATTTTATAAGAATTGGACATAAATTTTGGAATTCTGGAATTGAATTTTGGCATTTAGAAATTCCTTGGATATATACAGAAAGACAATATCTAAATGAATGAAGTTCTGAAAGGCGTATTAAAGAGATTTGATTATTGTTCCATGTTACAGATGAGTCCTCCCCCAATATCGAAGAAAGACATTGTAGCTGAAGATTTCAATATGATATTTTATTAGAAATGTTAAAATTTAATTTCAAATAAACGATACAAATAGGGAATTATTTTTTATACCCCCAAATTTATTATTCGTACCCCCCTGCAGATCAACTTTTTTTTAAAATTTGAGCGAGGATATCTCAGTAACTACCAAGCCAAATTCGATAAACTTTTTTTTAAAAAAAAATTCTATAGATTCATAGGATTCAAAAAAAAAAGTTCATCGAATTTGGCCCAGTAGTTGCTGAGATATCTTCACTCAAAGTTTGAAAAAAAAATCAAAACGTCTATCAAAACAAACTGCAAAATTTTTTTTAAACTTTGAGCAAAGATATCTCAGCGACTACTAAGTCAAATTCGATGAACTTTTTTTTGTTTGAATGCTATGAATCTATAGAATTCAAATAAAAAAAAAAGTTCGAATTTGGCTTAGTAGTTGCTGAGATATCTTTACTCAAAGTTTTAAAAAAATTCAAAACGTCTATCAAAACAAGCTACGACAATTTTTTCTAAACTTTGAGTGAAAATATCTCAGCAACCACTTTTTTTTATTTAAATTCTATGAATTCATAGAATTCAAATAAAAAAAAAAAGTTCATCGAATTTGGCTTGGTGGTTGCTGAGATATTTTCACTCAAAGTTTAGAAAAATTGTGGCGCAGCTTTTGTTTTGATAGACGTTTTGAATTTTTTTAAAACTTTGAGTAAAGATATCTCAGCAACTACCAAGCCAAATTCGATAAACTTTTTTTTAAAAATTCTATATATTCATAGCATTCAAACAAAAAAAATTTCATCGAATATTTGACTTAGTAGTCGCTGAGATATCTTTGCTCAAAGTTTAAAGAAAATTTTGTTTTGCAGTTTGTTTTGATAGACGTTTTGATTTTTTTCAAACTTTGAGTGAAGATATCTCAGCAACTACTGGGCCAAATTCGATGAACTTTTTTTTGTTTGAATCCTATGAATCTATAGCATTTTTTAAAAAAAAAAGTTTATCGAGTTTGGCTTGGTAGTTACTGAGATATCCTTGCTCAAAGTTTTAAAAAAAGTTAAATCTGCAGGGGTACGAATAATAAATTTGGTGTTATAAAAAATAATTCCCTACAAATCTTATTGTTAAAAATTACCTTTTGTCTAATTAGCCAAGTGTACATATCTAAATTGTATTTAAGATCATATAATTGCTTTTCATTTAGTAAATCGCTCTTAACAATTTTTGAAAATTGTTGGATGTTGTTAAAATATTCAACAGATCCAGAAAGTTGTTTCCCTTGAATCATTTCTTTGTATGAACTCATCATGTATCTCTATAAAAAATTTAAAAAAAAAGAATAATAATTCGATATCGCTGCAACAATATTATAAAAGGTATTACAAATACCGTATAAACGCGGAATAACGCCCACCTGCGCGTTATTTCGAATACGCCCATGTGCGTTATTTCGAAATATAGATTAAATAAACCCCTCTTCATTATAAGAAGTATAGTAAGAAATGAAAGTGCACCTGAACTGGATTTTATACTAAGTAAACCTGCTTTTATCATTGTTATAATTGTCTTAGTATAAAGAACAACTTTTGTTAGATCGCGAAAACAGGTTTACTTAGTACCAAATCGTTTCGAAGCACTTTTTATTCTTTATTTTTTTATAGAAGGATGCGCGTTATTTCAGGACGCACATGGGCGTTAATTCGAAACTACATATACTATTTTTAAAGGTTCCGATTTTCAAAATAACGCCCACGGGCGTTATTCCGCGCTTATACGGTAATAATTTTAGTCATATTTACGGCGGTTTGTTGCAAAAGTACATGATTGTCACCACCGCCTAATTCAAAATTAAACATATCAAGTTAAAACAAATTCATAGACAAATTTAACTTAATAATTAAAGATTTAAAATTACCGGTAGTATTAACACCCCAATCTCCAATAGCAGGTCCAATAGCATTATAAGCTGAATAAGCATGACCGCCTAGAGATCTTCTACATCTTTCAAGCATTTCACTACCCCACCATGTTATAGTTCCTTTTAGGCCTGAAGATATTGCGTGTAAGTCGGTAACAATTTTTAAAAATTCAGATTGATTTGTTTGTATTAGTTTTATTGATTCTTCCCAATGAGCTTTGATATTTCTGTTTAAAATTTGCAAATAATGAGCTTTAATGTTATTGATCAAAAACATAAAAAAATAATAATTTTTAAAGATATAAAAGATATGATAAAATAAAGATTACCTATCCACAATATTAATAACATAGATGGTAGCAACGCAGGGAACAAGTTTAACGTAATGAGTTTGATAGTCCATAATTTGTATATTATCAGCACCCTGACGTCTAACACAACCATATCTACAAGCAATAGTCAACGCCCTTCCCAAAGCATTTTGTGTGCCTTTGAGAACTGTTAATCGTTCGCCAATTAAAGTCGTATAAGCAATTGCAGGATTTTTTGGTGGTATATATTTTCCATCTTCGGTTACTTTCGACCATTTCATTAGCATGTTCTTTCTTGGGATACGAACATTTGAAAATTGTATCCATCCACTGTCTAGACCGTCTCGACCATATTTTGCTCCAATATCACCAGCTGTAACTCCAGGAAGTAATTGGCCAGTTTTGCGGTCTCGCAACGGGACTATAAACCAATCAATGCCGTAACTTTTTGAATCAATTATAGTTTGACATATTGCAACAGTATGTGTAGCTGTCTGAGAAAAATATATTTATAAATATAATTAATATAAAGAATCTTCTTTTTAAAAAAATTTAAAGTTTTAAATACCTGGCCCGCCATTCCTATCCACCTGGTAACAAAAATGGTTAAATTTATTAAATGATATTATTATAAAGATTTGATTTAAACACGTGCAATACCATTTTGTGCTCATTAAAGTTGGAGTGTTGATAATAAATTCATCATGAACTCTATCGTATGTTGCAGTAGTTTCTAAGCCACGTATAAAAGAACTATTAAATTATAGTAAGTTTTCATTGATGATTACTGCACACCAAATTTACATATAAAAATAGAAACCTGTGTCCCAATTCAGTCTAAAAAATAAGTCGTATAAAAAAAAATCAATTTAATGAATTGCATCTACTATCATATGGTCATTATGAACATTACCATAGCATAGCATCCAATAACTCTCCAATTTAGCACATCATCCATCCATTCGTCTTAAAAATTCAAAGTAAGATTGTAAAATAAATAAAATTTAATATGCATGATTTTTAAGAAAAAAAAAATACCTTGCTGTTCTTTTGTTCCGAAAAATTCAATCGATTGACGAAATAAAGTGTTGTGAACATATGTTTTCATCGAAAATGCCTCAGAATAAATACTATAATTATTCAGCATGATTTAATTTCTAATAACAGTTCGAACAATGTTGTTATGATAAACTGATACAAGATATAAAATAACATACCACATTGCGAGTTCTAAGGCATTATATAATAATGGATCTTTTAAGGTTTTACGAACTCTTTGAAATCTCAAGACTTGGCGTTGGACACTTCACGATAATAAAGACAAAAAATTATAAGTTATCAACAACGATTACACAAGATTACATAAGAGAAGGAGTGGAAAGAAATTACAGTTCACGTTGCTGAGGTTGAGTCATATCAAAACTATGCCCACCGGGAATATAAAGATCTGGGTCGCGTTGTATCATTTGGTAGGCATCAGACTATCAATAATACGATAGAATTCGGAAAAACTAGTATAAATTATGAAATCCCAATGCTGGAAAAGTTAATAAACGCTTACTAAAGCTTTTGCGGCTTCTTTCGAACCACAAAATAGCCAATTCATATGTTCAACGTTAAAGCTCGCATTTGACCTTTCTTTTTCTAGGTCTATTGAACCTGTTGGCAGAGAAATATGGCCTTTAAGTAAGTTAAGGCGATTTAACGCATTATTGTTTGACATGTTAAATCTTCATATTTCGATTTCTTAGACCGAGCATGGCGCTAAAAAATTTTGAATCGATCGGCAAAACATTGTTGCACAATCCAACGATTTTTGGCTAATGTTTTTCTAGTATAAAAAGGCAATTTTGGTGAAATCTAGAAAATCTAGATAGTTGCGATCTCAACGGTTGGAAACGATGTTCGAAATTTCACGTTCAAATATCGTTGTAATTATAAATTATCCGCGTTCTATAAAAAAAAAAAAAAAAAAACTTTTTTAATCATAAAGACTTTAGATTCATAAATGAGGGATGCAAGGGAAATCAAGACTTCGGGCTTTCAAGTCTATTATTTAGACTCAGCTCTTATTATGATACATAATTAAACTACGATCATTTGCTAGGAAAACCACTGTACTTGCTTTCAAACAGGGATTTTCCCGGAAAAGATCCATATATGTCTCTGATCAGGGCTGAATCCAATAAGATAATAAATAATAAACTTGAAAACCCAAAGTCTGACTTTCCCTTGCGTCACAAATGCTGATGGTGAGTAAAACAGGATATTTATTTATGTGAGTGTCGCCAAGCCAAGAGAAAAACAAAAAGTCTAAATATAGAATAATATTTATTTTATATAGTACAATATCTATATTTAGGCTTTCTGGTTTTCGCTTGGTAAACACTCATATATCGATATTGTTGGCTAGGTATTTTTTTTGGGGTAGTTCTGCGAATGAAATAAATTCGTATTCATATTTATCTTTATTACTCTGTAATTGTTTTAATGTGACGTGACGCATACGTTATTTGTTTAACGTTAAAAAAAATATGATATGGTACAAAAACCTTTATTACAGAATTTTAAGATCGAGTACAAAGAAGACTAAAAATAATTTAATTTAATTCCATGGTTTCGTCATCGTCATCTTCGTCATCGTCATTTTCCATACCCTCATAGTCTTCATTATCATCTTCCTCATCTTCGTTATCTTCATCTTCAAAATCGTCTTCCGAGTAATATTCATCAACATCGTCGTCATCATCATCAGAATTATAAGCCGCGTAATATTGACAAGTTGGTGCATGATAATGATTACCTTTTTCACGAATATTGTCGTAGTCACCAAGGCACCTATTTTCAATTTCAATTTCAATTTCAATTTAAGCAAAGTAAGACGAAATGATAGGTTTTCAAAAAATGAGAAATGGTCAAGTGCTTACAGCCAACAAAATTCATAACCACAACGACAAGTCATATGATCGCATCCATGATTCTTTTCAATAGACATTTTACATCTTGGGCATGGTTTAGTATGACGTTCATAATAGGCACGATTAGCAGTATAATCTTTGGTTTGTAATTGCTCAGAAAATTCATCACAGGTTAGTCCTGAGTGCCAAGGAACATCATGAGTGAAACATGATTTTTCGCCACAGGCTTCGCAGGTAATTATTGGCAATCTGTCTATAATTTTTTTAAAAAAAAATAAATTAATCAGAGTAGGAAAAGAAAAATATTTGCAAAAAGCTTACCTCCGGTTGTATGTTCTTGACCGGAACCGCATTTCGGAGCCTTGCACCAACGAAAATCTGGAAGCTTACGGATTGCAGCTCGCAAAAGAAGAGTATCGTACCTTATTTTAATATATGCATTTAATAACTTGCGTGGGTTGAAAGATTCTTTAAAACTTATATCACCTGTCGAATAACTCTTTTGGAGCCAATCTTTTCACATCATCATAAGTTAATTCTATTGTACAGCGAGATTTTGGGCAACGTACTTGAATTTCACTTCCTTTAGTATTTAATTCCGCTTCAATGTGTCGCTTGATACAGGTAGGACAAAGGTCATTATGACCGCAAGCAGACGAAATTTGTTGAACGGTCGAATAATCTTCGCAACAAACACTGCATTCTGGCTTCGTTGTCGTCATTATAGAAAGATTTGAACTGAGAAAGCAGCTCAAACAATTCAGCGACGGAATAAAATACAATGAAAGAGGTTTGTGTATGTGTATGCGTGTACAAAATCATATGATTAAGCCTCATTCATCAAAATATAAATATGGCATAATTCTGGAATATATATTCATTTTTAAAGGATATCAACGGTCGAGAAGGTATTGTTTGCCAGCACAAACTTAAAAAATATTTGTATTAGTAAATTACTATATCGAAAGATCTTGAAGTCGATCAAAAGATCTTGAGGTCGAGAATAGTTCCAGCAGCAATATTAACGCATTAACGCATAATACGTAATAAGAAATATCTTATCACGAATTATTATAACCATAACTGTTTAGTTGGCTTTTTAGTTATAACAAATATATATATATCTATCCATTTATTAACCTCTCAGTATTACCTCGTACGTATTATCTCTCAGCATTAAGAATTTAACTTTAAAAATAGCATATAATAAACCTCTTATTATGATGAATTTATCAATAAACATCCAATATAACGTTAATAAATTTTTACTATTGTACCTTCGTTATACCGAAAAAAATAGTATTGTGAGACTGCACTCTTGTTGATTCTAACTTTACATACATATTAATTTTATTATTGTTCGTATTTTTTCCCATTAAAAATTAAGTTTCAAAATTATCCTGTAATTTTATAACCCTATAACAACCACAAAACAACAATCGAAGACCCTATACTAACCCACAATTCAATATCTCTAAACCGACTACTCTTAACATTACCTTCACTTGTAGGTAAGAATGGTTCATAAGATGAAGTAGGTTCTTGGTTTGTAGTTGGTGATGTAATGTTACTCGTGGTCGGAGTATGTGTTATCGAGGCAGCAGCCGTTGGAATATTCACTGGAGGGCTAGTGATAATTGGAGTATTGATGGCACTAGACCTTCTCCAAGTTCTGGTAGTATCGGTTGAAGCGCTTGCACTTGTGTCAGAGGTGGTAGTAGTGGTGGTGGTAGTTGTAGTTGTGGTTGTAGTTGTAGTTGTAGTTGTAGTTGTAGTAGTGGTGGTTGTAGTGGTAGAGGATGAGGATGAATCATCTTGAGAGATTACTGGTGGTAAGCATATAGTGAATAATAGGAGGATTAGAAAAAAAAAGTAAAGCTTTCGACACATTTTTGTATATAAGTGGATGCGTTTTTAAAATATAGCTTAATAGTAAAGTAAAAGAATTCTTGATTATTTATTATTATTTTTACTGTTATTATTCTTCGTTTATTAATTATGATATATTAATCATTATTTGAAGAAAAAAAAAAACCAATAATGAATTTATTAACCCTCTAGATGGAGTTGGGATATTACTTTAAAAATTTGATATATTTATGGTTTTTTAATGCAAGTGATAAAGTTATGCGACATTGATATAAATAACTACGTTAAATATACTTATTGTACATTTGTACTCGTAACACTGGTACATAGGTGCGTGCGTACTTAAGTACATTTATATATGAATTGTGTCGCAAGTTATTAATTAACCATAGATAAGTATGTGGGACTGTATTTATAGTAGCTTAAAGATTATAATAACCATGGCGGTAGAATGATACAGTATATTTAAATCGTGACAAACAGAATTAGCTTCGTACATACAGATTGTACATATTCCTAAAATTAGTAAACATTTTTAGATTTGTACTTGAGTCATTCATTGTTAATATGGAAAAGCATTTTGTACACTATGAATACAAAAATTTTATAAGGGGTCTCTTTGATGAAACGTCACTTTGTTGAAGTTAGTGTTAAAGAGACTCGTTGTCCAAGAATCTTTATTATTTTGTATTACGTTCAATACCCCCTAAAAATAATATCACCAGATTTATACCTGGTCCATATTCCAATATCATCATGCTAGTCAATAAACGAACCCCTGCTTAAAGATCGGTTCACACGATACCCCTAGTACAGATCAAGTTAGGTGTCGTGGTTTTTGATTTATCGTTAAATATCACTGAATGCAGCGCTCTTCGGTAACAACTTCATATTCGAATGCGTTGCATAATTTTATAATTTGATTGCATCATTACTTACTTTTTTGGTATAATTGTGATCTAAATTCGGAAAAGCGAAGCATGTATCGGTATGCTTCAAAATCACTAAAATGTGATTCGAGATAATGTACGTATTCGGGTTATGAAAGTTATAAATTTATATAAAAATAGGCAGCTCTTTCGATAAAGAGTAATATCATTATAACCTATCATGCTTGAAGTTGCAACTTCAGGCTTCTAACCCCTGAAATTAGAGTTTCTTCGGGTGAAACATTAGGCAACTTCAATGAGTCTAACATTATACGTAACAAACATTTGCATGTATAATTTATTTGTCACCATTTGTTATATTCTTATCTACATATTTCGAAATAATTAAATCCTAATCAATATCAAGCTAAAAAGGCATTTACTAATTTCCTCCAAGCTTCCATTGGCCATCGGTAAGGCCGTTCGAAGTTAATTCTTCGGTTAACATCACCCCCCCCCGCCCCCCCCCCACCCCCACCCCCCCCCCCCCCCCCACACCGCCCCCCACCC